AGACCCATTTAGACCTAGACTGGATTATGAGAACAGTTATTGTTCATTTATATATATATTTTTTTTATAATTTAGTCATGCATTTCCTTTTTTAATGTGCATGCTCATAATCCATTATGCCCTGATGTATAAGTATTAATTAGTCAGTTGTATGGTTCCCTAAATTTATTTATTAAGATGAAACTTGCATTTCTATAATGTTATGTATTATAGTTACAATGACATTTTAGTAATTCAGATATTTCTGTCAATATAAGTGAATATATTGTTATTAATAGCAGTGTTGTGTTGTGATAATGCAGTTATTAACCTCTATAAATGCATCATCGACAGCTCTAAGTAAAACATACTGTAGAATAGATTTCCTAAAGCGAATATAAAAAAAAAATCATGAAGATGTGCTCATTATACATTTGAAGTTGTTTATTTTTAAAGTTAGCTGATTATGTTAAAATAATGAAAAAAAAAATAGTTGAATTTTTTTTATGTTTTTTATTTTTATTTTACATAACATTTTAAGTACAATTTCAGTAAAGTATAACTGCTATAAGCAAGCTATACCATGAATATGGCCGATGATATATATGTGTGTATATATATATATATATATATATATATATATATTAACAACATATTAAAATTACCATTCATGACCTCTAATGCAAACATTAGCCATTAAAGACATTAATAATTAAATGTTACAGCAAACAAGTTTCTTGTTTTTTTTTTTGTTTTTGTTTTTTTGAACCTTTATAAATTCTAAATCAATGTATAATAGATTTGAAAAAGCAAATGCATGACTTGTAAACAACTATAAAAATAACATAAATGTATATATAACTTGTCTTATAATGCATAGGACTTAACAATACATTCTCACCCCAAGGCGTCACCATTTGACCATGTTTCAATATTTGACGCTTTAGGCGCCCTTTAGCGTCACGCGATCCTACGGCGTCATCTAACTGACGCTAAAGGAAAGCGTCAGTTTAATGACGCGGGTGGGTTTAGGTCTGGGGTGGGGGTAGGGTACACGCGATCCTAGGGCGTCATCTAACTGACGCTAAAGGGCGCCTAAAGCGTCAGTTAGGTGACGCCTTGGGGGTGGACTTAACGAGTCGATCTAGTTATAGAATAGTAATACTTAATTCTAAATAAATGGGGCTTTATAGAAAGTGTTACCAAAATATTTAACACAATAGAAAATGTATAGTTCCAAACATTAAGAAGAAAGAACTGATTAAAATATAGAAAGGCCATTCTTTGCTCATAAAAAAAAAAAAAAATACCGTTCTATATTTTATTAAACGAAACAATACTTTTCAAACTAATGCTCAGATGTAAAATAAAGTTATCTGTCATCTTTTAGACAAATCTCTTTGAATCTGAAAGGCTTTTCAGTCCTTACTGTAATGGTTACTTATCCTGGAGCTATTCCATGGGAGTTCATGCAGAGCTCTGAGTAAATGACCTATTCAATAGAGCCAGCACGCTCCAGCAGACCACGGGTTTCTATGATCCATTATGAAATAACAGTACATGTCTCCCCACCCCCGAGTTTCCCATCAGCCCCTTTATGTTGGTTAAAGGACGAGACCTGACCAGAAACATAGGGAAATGCTCTTCGTCCATATGGCATTTTTAAGTTAAGTTCCTTGTCCACTCTTAAATGTCGGAAAATGCTTAATTCATCTTACTGTGCATGCGTAAAATGTATAAAAACTCACTAAGATGATATTCAGACCGGACATAATCAACTTCTTATGCTTTTTCTGGCACAATAATTTGTATTAGCAAAAAAAAAACCCATCCAGGTCGTGCTCAATCGCCGTTCCACGTATAAACATAATTACAGAAATATAATATGAAGATTATACTAAGTAACATTTACAGTATCTGTGCAAGTAAACGGATATCTATGGGTACAATACGTATCAACAATTTCAAATACCTACTGTCTCAGTGTAGATGTATTGTAGTAGACATGGCTAAATACACAAAACCATGACATTTCTCCTGTTGGACTCCGGGCGTTGGAACATTAAAATGCACGACATAACTTACTGCAGATTTAATGCTCATTTCAGCAATAATGGATACATGCTTTGCATTCGCTTCAACAACATTGTTGTCTGTCATAAAACCATGATGTTTAGGACATTCTTATAACAACACTTTTGTAACTACGATAGAAGGTTCTATATAGAGCTTTAAAGGTTTCAGTCAGGTGCTTAGAAGCTTTTAGAGGTTTGGGATCATTTTATGGATTTAGCTTTAATTAACAGGGCTTTTTTTTTCTAAGAATGGTATCATGATAATATTGAAGTTTGTTTCGGCCACAGATTAAAAAAAGAAATAAGGTAATTGCGACTTTTTTTCTCACAATTGCGAGTTTACATCATGCACTTCTGACTTTTTATCTTTGAATTGCGTGATATAAAGTCGCGAGTTTATAACTTTCTTTTCGTTTATAAAATTCTGACTATCACACATTTCTGACTATACAGTATATCTCGCAATTCTGACTTTATATCTCGCAATTCTGACTTTATATCTCACAATTCTGACTTTATATCACCATTCTGACTTTATATCTCACAATTCTGACTTTATATAACAATTCTAACTATATATCTCGTAATTCTGACTATATATCTTAATTCTGACTTTATATCACCATTCTGACTTTATATCAAACAATTCTGACTTTATATAACAATTCTAACTATATATCTCGTAATTCTGACTATATATCTTAATTCTGACTTTATATCTCACAATTCTGACATTTACATTTCTGACATATATATCACACAATTCTGACTTTATATCATGAAATTCTGACTTTATACCACACAATTCTGACTTTATATCTTACGATTCTGATTTTGTATCACGCAATTCTGACTATATATATCACGCAATTCTGACTGTATATCACGCAATTTTGACTTTATATCTTGCAATTCTGACTTTATATCTCGCAATTCTGACTATCACACAATTCTGAGTTTATATCTCGCAATTCTGACTTTATATCTCGCAATTCTGACTGTATATCTCGCAATTCTGACTTTATATCTCGCAATTCTGACTTTATATCTCACAATTCTGACTTTATATCTCGCAATTCTGACTTTAAATCTTGCAATTCTGACTATCACACAATTCTGACTATATGTCTCGTAATTCTGACTTTATATCTCGCAATTCTGACTTTATATCACACAATTCTGACTTTATATCTCGCAATTGTGACTATATATCATAAAATTCTGACTATATATCTCACAATTCTGACTATATATCTTAATTCTGACTTTATATCACAAAATTCTGACTTTATATCACGCAATTCTGACTATATATCTTAATTCTGACTTTATATCACAAAATTCTGACTTTATATCTCACAATTCTGACTATATATCTTAAATCTTACTTTATATCTCAAAATTCTGACTTTATATCACGCAATTCTGAATATATATATATATCACAATTCTGACTTTATATCACACAATTCTGACTTTATATCTCGCAATTCTGACTATATATCACACAATTCTGACTTTATATCTTGTAATTCTGACTTTATATCACGCAATGTTGACTATATATCTCACAATTCGGACTTTATATCACAATTCTGACTTTATATCTCACAATTCTGACTTAATATCTCGCAATTCTGACCATATATCTTAATCCTGACTTTATATCTCACAATTCTGACTATATATCATACAATTTTGACTATATATCACGCAATTCTTACTATATATCATGCAATTCTGACTTTATATCTTACGATTCTGATTTTATATCATGCAATTCTGACTTTATATCACTCAATTCTGACTTTATATCACTCAATTCTGACTTTATATCACTCAATTCTGACTATATATCTCGTAATTCTGACTTTATATCTCACAATTCTGACTTTATATCTTGAAATTCTGACTTTATATCTCGCAATTCTGACTTTATATCTTGAAATTCTGACTTTATATCTCGCAATTCTGACTTTATATCTCATGATTCGGACTTTATACCTCACAATTCTGATTTTATATCATGCAATTCTGACTTTATATCTTACAATTCTGAGAAATAAAGTCTGAATTGTGAGATGTAATCTTGCATTTATGAGAAAATTATCATTTAAAATGTTTTATTCTTTGGCCCAAAAAATCATGTCTGGTGTGTTTTGGTTTTTACAAACTGCAAATGACAAAAAAAAAAGACTAATTGGCCCTTCTTTAAATGATAATCTAACACAGTTGTAACACAGTCTCATCCCAAAAAGTCATATAACTGACGTTTTGGGACGTATTTTGACCATACGTCAATATCCGCCTTTTTAGGGCCCCCTTAAACGTCGGTAGATGGCGATCCCGGGCCGTCATACAACTGACGCTTTACCTTTAACGTCAGTTAGGTGACGGGTTAGGTTTAGGGTTAAGTTTAGGTATGGGGTAGAGTTAGGATCCCATAACCTCATCTACCGACGTTTAAGGGGGCCCTAAAAAGGCGAATATTGACGTATGGTCAAAAGACGTCCCAAAACGTCAGTTATATGACGATTTGGGATGAGACCGGGTTGGATAATCACATATAAACTTAATAAATATATAAATACTTATATACCCTTATATTTGTTTTGCTTTTGACTGTACCATTAGCCAAATGAAAAAATGTTTACAGAAAATATATGAAATGCTCTTAGAAAATGTTCATGTTTCTACATTTGCCCAAATAAAAGTTCCCAGCTCAGATTTGCCATAAATAATGAAGAATTTTTTTTATTTTTATTTTTGATTGAACTATTCATTAAATCACTGTTTTTAAACTACTGTTTAGGATTAGATTGAACTGAGGCTGCTTACCAAAATTTCATCTAGAAACTGAAAACAAAACAGAGATCTTTATCAAGCTAACAGTTTTTTTTGTTTGTTTGTCTGTTTTTTTGTTGGATTTTCATGTATTCTCTACAGGCATCACCACAGTGCTAACCATGACCACGCTGAGCATCAGTGCCCGGCATTCATTACCAAAGGTCTCCTATGCCACCGCCATGGACTGGTTCATCGCCGTCTGCTTCGCATTTGTCTTTTCTGCCCTTATCGAGTTTGCTGCAGTCAACTATTTCTCCACCTTGCAGGCCAATAAGGAACTTCGGCGGGCCAACTTGGCCTGTGCTGCGGCCCAAGCAGCGGCCAGAAGTGATGGAGAAGCCGTTTCGGTAATTCTTATCTACATCTTTGTTTCTCCATTCATTTCACCCTCTCTTCTTTCTGCCTTTCATGGCTCACTGTCGTTTTAGCCGATAACAAGCACACTCAACGAAAGGAGACAGCCAATGGCCTCCCTTGCCCCTAGCCCTAGCTGCTGTAGATTATATAACCAGTTCAATGTAGCAAAACATTCAAGCGAATGCATGCCAGACTCAAAGCGAGGGGATCTATCCTCTGTGTCTTGATTGCTGTAGGGGTAGACGCAGTGGCTTAGTACTCTTGCCCTGAGTGAGTAAATTACCATGTGAAAGTCACAGTCAGATTCCCATTTCATGTCATTGATGTCACAGGCATAATGACAAAGTATGTGGCTCGGTTTCATTTGGTACACATTCAGAATTGTAGATGCTGAACATTTATTAGCTCAACAACAAATTATATGGGCTTCTATGCAGTTTTAAAGCTCTAGACAATAATATTTAACCCTAATATAGTTAACTCATGACACAAGTGTATTGTACAACACTGCTAGGTATACTATTCAACACTCTTTCAACAGGCTCCCTGAATACTCCCTGTACAACCTGTAGACTTGCCACAAACACACCCCATTGGTTAAGCCAATCTGTCTGTGCTTTCCTGGTTGGTAGCTCAAATATTTTAATTGCACTCTTTTAGGCTGGGGATCAACCTACAAATATCATTTTCCATTAAATTGGCTTAGGATATTTCTTCTAAAAGTGTGTCATTTTAGATTCATTTCATATTTCTGCAAGAGAGTCACATGAACACAAACGTCACATAGCCATGCAGTGAAGATCTATGGCCAAGGTCTGGATTTTTGTTAAATAAGACATACATTTTTCATATCATATATCCCCCAAAACACTTGGAATATATGACACACGTCGCATGGGATCATTCTGCGATACGTAATGGTATTTTTAAAAAAGCTGGATTCTGGTCGTTATATGGACAAGTGCGGATGGGATCTTTTACTCTCCTTCTTTGGTCCATAAAAAGGGGTATACGGGATTAGAACGACACCAGGGTGAGTAATTTATTACTTCATTTTAGGGTGAACTATCCCCTTAATGTTTCCTTTGTAAAGGGTTCATAAAGGTGTTCATTAATGACTAATTACTAATTTACAAAGGCATTATAAGTTGATAAACAGTTATAACTGCATGAATAAAAATGGTGATTTTAATGCAATACCTGTCAAATAGTGTTAAAAATGCTTAATAAATAAATGAAGAGTTCAGATGCAAAAGCCTCTAAGTGCCATTTGAAATTTTCTTCTAGAATGATCATTTTTATCAAGCCTGTATATTTAAGTTCAGTGATTTCACTTAAATTGCAATGAAGATTACCTATTAATTGTCATTTAAGTGAAATTACTGAACTTAAATATACAAGCTTGATAAAAATGACCATTCTAGGAGAAAATTTCAAATGGCACTTAGAGGCTTTTGCATCTGAACTCTTCAAATGTATTCATAAGTATTTCAATCAAAACCAGATTGCTGATTTATTTAACCTCTTAACTGTCACCCCCCTTTTTTGAATAGACATGGAAATGCTCGTTTCAATCTTAAATGGTTGTAATTCAAGAATGCTTTGGAATATAGACGTAAGATTGGTCTCGTTTTAAAGAAGACATTTGGCAGATTTTTCAGAAATAAATTAAGAAAGTGAAACAGAAAAAAAAGTTATAGAAGTTTGAGTTTATAGAAATATACAATGTAAAAATTTAATTATTCATATTTTATATAAAATATGTATTTTCAAAACCTGGGCTACTCTAAAACTGCAGAAAAATCAAAGCCAAAAATCTGAACAAGTTGTGTTTCAAATTTTAGGTCGATATCTAAAAAAAAATAGCTTTCAGTGAGATTTTGTTTGGGCGCAGTACCAAACTTTTTCACTAGGGCACAATCAGACTCCATTACAGCCCATATAAGGGCGCCTCCATTTCCATATGTGATCTGAACCATTATTTCACAAATTTCACACAATTTATGAAGTAGAAATCCTATTCAGAAGTAGTATGGGAAGTTTGGCAGATTTTGATATGAATTCAACCTCTAGGAATCATACAAAGAACACGCATGCACGTTATAGCTTATTGCCATAACACAAATTTTTTTTCATAATATTTAAAACATTTTCAGACTTTTTTTCTAAAATAATTGAATGGATGCTATCTTTTGAACTCTTGGCATTAAAAAACTGAGGTTTTTTCATGATTTTTCATGTTCATTGCTGTTTCAAAATAAAGGTCTGAACACGCTTTATGAGTATGAAAATATTCTTGTTGCAAATTGATAAATTACGGCTCCTGTGTAAATTATTTTGAAAATCAGTCACCAAATATGGAAACTGGAGATTGTAAGCTTTCAAATGATATATAGTTTGTCAATATTACTTAAGGTCTTTTCTAAGATATTATTGTTTTAAAAATATAATGGCAAGCGTCCCACCTGTTAAGAATGATACATCAAAAACATGTTTATCAGGGTGAAAGTATCAATCATTCTTAAAAAAAAAGCAAACATAACTGTATGAGAGATTAAAATTGAAAAAAAAACCTGACCCTTATAGTAAAGTGGACACATAAATTATTTATTTATTAATATTACACATACAGAAGATATTATATCATTCTGGTGAATTTGGTGAAATATACGTTATTGTTGATGCGATAAATCACTAAAAAAAGGCACTATTGTGGCACACTGGAACATTAATGAGTATGAATTCTCGTGAAAAGTGGCTTATAAGTAAATTCACATTAAACAATTCAGAGACATTTGTCAATTCAGTTTTATTTTTCTTTAAATTGGACGGATGGCAGACCAAATACAATAAGCTTGGATTTATCATTATTCAATTTCAGAAAGTTTTATGTAATATAATAGTCAAGAAGAGAAAGAACAGAAGAAAAATGTGCAGGTCATCAGCATACAAATGATGACAAAAGATCACGACGATGGTAACATAACCAAGTAAATATTCAAAAGAAGAGGTCCAAGAACAGAGCTTTGAGGGACACCGAGAGAGAAAATATGTGAAAGTTATGGACAGCAATGAATAAGTGACTATTAGTGAGATAGGATGTAAACCAAGAAAGAGCGCTGCCCATGATGCCTATAGCTGAAAGACGAGAGATAAGTATGTGATGCTGTTAAATCAAGCATGCGGACAGCGAGACAGCTCGAATCACCAGATGCGAGAAGCTCATTGGTCATTGATTGATAGAGATCAAGAAGATTGTTAACAGAGAGATGAGATTGTAGCTGAGAGGGAACTGCTTTTTTTAGCAGGTGAGCAATAGAAGATGACATTACAGATAGACAGCCTTTTAGAAATGAGAAGTGAAGTGATACTGCGATACACATACAGTAAACACTTTAAAAAGCATATTCTGCGATGTTACCTCAGTTAGCTTACCCGAAAAAAAAAATCGGTGAACATGACGTGAGATTAAAATGATGCTTCAGAGAACGTTGGGACAGTCGTGACAGCGTCACATCTCATGAAAAGTGGCTTTATTGGATGCTCACTAGCGCCAACTACAGGCTTTGGTGATTTTGGTTTCCAAAATGTGTATAAGTGTAGCCTAAAGCAAACAATGCAAAAAACTATTACACTACAAATGATCAGAAATTACACAATAACGTCCACAGATCTCTAATGTTGATAATCTAACTGTATTATTATTATAATAATGTGCAGTGTATTAATATACTGTTGTCACTTCTGGTTTTGTAGAAGTGTTAATCTGCTAAGGGTTTTGATTCGACTGTATTCTGTTGTATTTGTGCTTTTCCTGTTTTGTTTGCTTTCTAAGTCCTTGTTTGTTTCTATAGTAACTGATTTGGTTCAACCTGTCTTGTTTTGTTACTCATTTAGTCTCGTGTATTTATAGCCCTGAGTTTTATCTTTGCTTGTCAGATTTCATCTGCACGTGGATGGATTGTTCTCCTATATTTCTCCTATTGCTCTTCACAAACAACTGTGAAAAATATGTATAATATGCAATGCATTCTTTTCATTTGTAATGTTAGTAGGACATACTTTTTATTCTCTTTCAGCTTCACGTCACTAAAGCATGTGTGTTCTGGCATGTTTGCACAAGTGAGCATCCAATATAGCCACTTTACATGAGAAGAAGTCACGCTGTTAGGACTGTTCCAACGTGCTCTGAAATATATATATATAATACTGTGTTTCTGATTTGACAGGAAAGCTATAACTGAGGTGACATTGCAGACTATGGTTTTCAAGTGTTATGTGTAAATGTTGTGTTACTTCAATGTATTAGCATATAAATACCTACACTGGCGATTCCACAAACACTTCTGTATTGTTTTGTTAAAAGACAGTATCTAACTTTCTGCATTGTTCTGTAATGTGTATTTAGTAATTGATTTAAAACTATTGAATTTTTTGATTGCCTTTATTCAGCTTGTATTTATCAAATGTTTTTGCCTTATAGATTTGATATTTTATCGTTTGTTGGAAGACTTGATTGTTTCTCTATTGTTTAATGTGAGTTTACTTGCATTAGCCACTTTTCACATGAAGTCATGCTTAGTAATTTTCCAATGTGCTAATAAAAGTTGAATCTTTTTAGTTTAAAGGGATACTACACCATATACTCCATCGCTCTGGCGCGTAAGACACTTTGATAGCACTTAAAGGGATAGTTCACTTTTCATTGTTATCTCATGAAGTTATGTGCTCACACACTGTAAAAAAATATTTTCATGATTTCGTGATTTCATGATGTTCATATAACATAATATTTTGAGTTTCTGATGATTAAATCAATCTCCTTCATTGTATTAACTCAATTTTTCAATTTCAATGAACTTAAAAATTTAAGGCAACCAGGTTACTTCATTTTTTTTAAGTTAAGCCAACAATATTTTTTTTACAGTGCAATACAGATTGATACTTTCATCTTTATAAACAATACATTTGATTGTATACATTGCTGTGG